GAATTAAAAAAGCAGCATACCGAAACTACAGCTGACACATTTCACACCTGTCACGAACAAAATAGTCCAACAGACCATCCCTGGTGTAATTTCAGCCATGTTGCCTTGAGGAGTTGCCTGCTGGATTTCTAAAATCTGTGCCTAGCAGTTTGTTAATACCCTATTTTAGTTATTATTAAATATTTCAGTACAATCTGGATGATTTCCGAGGGGCTTGTAAACTGCTGTTGTTGAACCACACCTTTCGTGGTCTTGATGGCACAGTACTGAAAAACTATCAGCCCATATCAAACTTGCCATTTTTAGGTAAAATTCTTGAGAAAGTTGTTTATTAACACCTCTGACTGCAATCTCCTGAGTAAGTGCTTTGATGGTTTTCAGTTAGGATTAAGGCCCAATCGCAGTACTGACTGAGACTGTGATCGTGGACAGAATGACATCACTCTGAACACTGAAGCAGATAAAGTCTTAATCTCAGTTCCTCTGGATCTGAGCGATGCATTTTACACAGTTGATACGTAATCTTGTTATAAAGGTTGGAGAACTACCTCCCTGACCCCGCTCTATAAGTATTGAAGTCCTGTCTTATAGATGCAAACAATTTTTGCTCAAATTGGAAACAAAAGAAAAACCAAATTGGTCAGGCCAAATGGCAGTGACTTATGGGATAACCCGGGGGACCATCATGGGACCTTTCCTCTTCAATCTTTACATGCTGATCAAGAAAATCGTGCTTTTTGGATAACATAGGAATCACTGAATTTAAACGCAAACCTATATATCTAGCTTGCTTATAGACACTGTCAACGATGAAAAAGATTTAAAACGGAGTCACCACTACAACAAAAATTTCGAACGTACACAAACAACATTGATTTGTTTTTTCACAAGAACCTGAGTTAATGTAAAGTGCATGAGGAGTGACTAAATTTGTGTCATGCGTAAACATGAATATATAATATAGTTAACACTTCAGAGTGTTACAAATACATATGGTGGATTAGGCATGTGGCTGTCGGGCACACCCACGATGCAGAGGGGGGCGCACCGGTCGTCTTTGCAGAGCTGCCACAACAAAGCATAATGAACTTTACTGCCCTATACTGGAGCAACATGTTGACAAGAGGTGGTTCCCCCACCGCCACTCCCACATCTAGAGAACGATTCTGCTACCTGTGACTTTTCTGCTATTTTCACAGAGATGCAGTACTATTAGATCCCTTGATACTCTGCCACAATTCATTTATATGACTTTGATGCATATTTAAAGAAGAAAATTACTAGTGATCTGATTGGAAACTCTCAAAGAGACTGTCTTTGGTAAAGAACATTTGAAAGTGACTCTCAATGTCAATCAAAACCATTATTTTCACACCACAACAAGCAAACAACATGGCCAAAAACTCACTACTTTTAACAGCCACAGTTATGATTTCATGAAATAAAATACACACATATTCCAATCTTGCCGAACACAGTTGTAGTACAAGAAAGAACAAACCCAAGAAAAAAAAAAGCAGCATTTAGAATTGGAAAGAGATTTTGTGTTTTTGTGGTTTTTAGATATGATTTGTATGAATGATCCATCAATTGCAGTATGCAAAATGGCATTGGTCATCAGTGACAGTTGATTGCTCTGATTGGCTGTTAACTAGCAACTCAGTGATTGAGTTAGAAGTAGATTTTGAGATTACACAAAAGTACACTAAAAGCAAAATAACAGCAAAGAAAATGGCATTATTTAGTAAATGAATTTCAATTCTGTAGATGTGGGCTTTTTTTTCATGAAGCCCTGACTGTGGATGATATGATAAACAATAACTTCTCAGTTATAGAGGGACTTACAAATATGTGAATGATGTGTGCGTGTACACCCGTATGGCCAAGGCTCAGTGAGGCGTTGTGTCACTTTGGCTACCCCACTCAAAATATTCTGGATAGCCCCTATTAATTTGGGGATTTTAAATGACGTGCAGCCAGGACAAAACTATTATAATATTAAAATCTTTGAGTCACTTGATTTTTGTGAAAATATGCACAAAATGATTTCTTGCACTGAATACTGCTTGCTGTTTAGCACTTTTATGCCATCTTTAAATAGGAATTTTTATGCAAGAGAGCCCTTTACATGTAGGGAAATCACAGTTTGTGTTTATTTTTTGTTCGTTTCAGAGCCTTTGCAGGGGAGGAGTGGATCTTTTACATATGTATTGGAGCATTAAAACATATGTAGATATGGTTTTGTAAATTGGTTGAATACAAAAACAAAATCAAACAAACACATGCTTTGTCCTTATTAAAAATTGCATTTTTGTCATCCATTTGGTTCGGAAGTGCGCGGTCCTATGTGGCCCTCAGTGCCATTGCTGTAGCATTTGTGGGCCTCTCGAAGTTATCAATGTCATCACTACCCCAAAACATAAAAATTGGTTTGAAATTTTGGGGTAACAAAAGAAGCAAACCTAAATGTTAACAGCCACATTGAATCAATAACATCATGAGGCTTTTGCCATCTCAGAAGCACTGCTAGTATCTGAGGTTAAGGTCTACACCGTAGCTTACCCACTGCTAGCAGGTTAGATTAAAATAATAGCCCTCTCACGCTCTCTCAATCAGAGGAGGGCAAACTACGGCCCGCGGGCCGAATCCGGCCCGTTGGTCTTTTTAATCCGGCCCGCCGAAGTCTCCGAGACTTTGAAAAACGAGGAAGCGATTCTTGCTCAGTCCGTTTCTGGCTTCTTTCCATGCTCAGAGTGAACTGATTACATCTCGACAGACAGTCGAGTAAATAAACGTTTCCTGTAATGGTTTGACTGTTATTGTGCTAAAACATTTCCGCAAACTGGACCGCTAATAAGAGAGCAATTGAATTCCATAGCGCTATGGGCATCGAAGACTTAGAAGCGTCCCGTGGCTGGGTTCAAATGTTCGTTGCGCGATATCAGCTGAGCAACGCTGTCTTGTGTGGTGATCGAGGGGAGGTCAAGTTTGAGACAGTGAGTGAGTCTATTATTGTTAACGCTTTTATTTGCATCATTATTTTTTCCAAACACGTGCAAATGGTCACAAACTGTTTTTTGCTTCTTTTACTTCACAGTATCACGGCAATCTGCCATTTCTTCACAATTAATATAAAAAAACTAAAAATGAAAATGTTCTCTATGGTCAGTAAAGGGCCCTTAAACCTCTTCAACTCAGTCATTCAGATGTTCCATTGGAGTGCAGACTTTTGCAAATGAGGAATGTTACATGACAATGTTCTTTTTGTCCAAAAATGATTAAATGTCAGTGGACAGCCTATCATGCTATCAGGTTACAGAGTGCATGAAAGGGTCAAGAAGTGCTTAAGTTTGAAATGACAAAATCAGGCAAAAATGGCCAGCCTTCGGAAATTTCTTGAGATTTGCATTTACACAACTGAAATGGTTATGTGTGTGTTACCTTTGGGCCCTTTGAGCAGGTTAACCTCCAGGACAGTTTCGGGTGGGGCCTGCCTCCGCCTCACCAGCAGGCGCACCACCGGCCCCGCCTCCTTCAGAGCCTCCACCGCACGGCTGTGAACCACCTCCGACACGTCCACGTCGTTCACGCGGAGCACGCAGTCGTTAACCCTGCGGATGTGTCGTCGTATCATCACTACAAATGCTCTAGCTCAGGGGTGTCAAATTCCTTTTTGTCGCGGGCCACTTTGGTGTTACGTCTTCCCTCTGAGGGCCGTCATGACGGTGAAACCACAAAAAAATGTTGAATCGTCTCATCGCATGTATTACTTGTACACAACGAATTAATGGATTTCTAGTTTTGAAATCAGTCGACTATAATAGTTTGTTCAATTATTGTTCAAGTGACTGTAAACAGGGTTTTCTATTATTAAGCAGGCACAACTTAACAAAATAAGAGTTCCTGTGCCTCAATACAATACCTCTCATTATTTGCTGTGTACTGGCAAAGTGAATAATTATTTTCATGCACCCCATTATTGGTTGGTTGTGAGGAGTGTTGATTTGTATAAGCTTGGCTTGACCATACTAAATGGGCATATAGCCCTGCTCCCCATCACCGCCGTGCATGGGACCGGACCTTGGTCTCATTAAAAAAAAAAAAAAGTGGACCGACAGCATTTCTAGTTGAGGACCACTGTTATATTTTGTCATATACCTGGACTGTATGCTGCAGTTTTTGGGCAATTTATTGTTGCACTTTGTTGCTTGTGTTGTCACACATGTATGTTGTTAACATACTTGGACGTTCATACAGGACATATACCATAGTTGTTTCACTGTTCTCATTAAAAAAAGTATGGTAATACTTTAATGCTTTTGTTCTGTTGATGTTTGGTATGGACTGACAACATATACAGCTTTTTTATATGTACCATATCTTGCGCTGACCCGGCCCACCTGTCGAATTTAGAAATCAATGTGGCCCCGAGCCAAAAAGTTTCCCCACCCCTGCTCTAAATCAACTGAAAGAAAGCTGCAAACCTGCCCTGCCCCCATAGCTCTTGAAGCTCGACATGAGACCAAGTACAGTACCAATACCGTTTCAAAAGTAATCAGTAAAACTTCAAAATAAATTCTAAAATGATGTGGAAGCCAAAGCAACGAGGTTAAAATATGACATGGTCTCTCCTAGATACTGTAATACTGTGTACTAATTTAAATCTCTAAAACCTTGTCCATTGTTGAAATCATTGATTTATTTTATGATTATCTTATTGAATATATATTGATATGCCTTTTTATGCCGCTATTCCGGGCTTGGGCAACTTTGTTTATTTGATTAAAATGAATTACTTTTTAAAGTCTTGTGTTTGGTTACTTTGATGTTGTTGGTTTTTAGATATCTTTGTTCGCTCTAATGTTTGTGTTTAAAGTCTTAATGAACTGTCTTTAATGTCTTTGTGTAATTTTGATTCGGTATATTATTATTATTATTATTTTTTTTTTTTTAATTATTATTATTGATCCTTTAGTTCCAGTCCACCAGCGTCTTGTAATTGTAATGTTTCGCCCTGCACTGTAATTAAGATATTACTTGTCTGTATTCTACTCACATTTAGTTACATTTATTTAAATGTTTGTCTCTTTGTGTATTACTGTCTCTTCCACGCTCACGATGTTTTGTTGGCGTTGAGAAGAGGGGGAACACCTGCGGAAGCATTACAAGAGGTCAAACAGTAGATGTCTCCCTTGTCGTGCAGCTGTGCGTCTTCACACTCCAGCCACTCCGCACTACACAGATGACACAGACGCCATTTTGAAAAGCAAATTGTTCATAGCACACCCGCACACAGAACTGGAACTATGCCGCGGGGCCGGCCTCGCAAACTGAGAGTTAAAAGCAACGACGAAACAGGTAATAAGTGCCAAATTGCAGCGAATAAAAAATATCGATTTTAGTCTGTCCAAAGAAAACGGTGGTTTTTGGAATAAACACTTCTAGGTCGTATCTAATAACACTTAAATGTAATGTATATAGTCCCCGGATATAGTATTGCGGGTGGGCTTTGCTTTGTGCGGCGAAGGAGTGATTGAGGCGGAATGATATTAATAGTATTTCGGCGGCTCTTCTCACTGCCTCCAGTCCAAATTGGTGGCCGCGAGAAGAAGAGCTGCTGTGCCGATGGTCGAATTCGACGTGCTTGTTTTGAACTGTAGCGGTGTTTGTCAGCTATTTGCCATTAGCGTTCGATTGCTAGCGCGTTAGTGCTCCAGCTAGCTTAGACGCTAAGTCGCTCGAATGGTGCCTGATGTTGTTCGGATGTTGCCAAACAGAACTACGACCCCGAGGCGAGCTGATTAATGTCTGGGAGAAGTTTCACCAACCACGTTTCTTTAATGTTTTGTCTGTATTGCATCGATCACACAATACAATATTTGCTGTAGTCTTGCACTGGTGAAATAACCGAGCTGTTGGCCAAACGTTGCAGTCGTCGACATTTAGGACGAAAGTTTAACAACTATGAACTGAAGAAGCATTTGGCCGCGTGGAAATTAGAGACCTTTATTAGAACAGCGAACACAGTCGTGAAATTTTGACAATTTAAAATACAATGTCACAAGAGCAGCACTTGGCAAAACGTTTGGAACATAACCGTTTGATGAAATGGACTATTACGTCCATGCACAATGAAACTGCTATAATTGCAACAATGTCGTATGGTTATCTGAGTAGGATAAAGGTATGGGAACACTACAATACAAACAATGTATTCATTCTGGCCCTCATTATTGACAGATGTATTAAAAAAGACAAATAATGCATTTTGTGGGGATGAGAGCATGATGATGCATGCTGCTTTTAGCATGAAGAAATGACACATATTTCTGCCATCAGCCCAAGTTCCAAAGAAATCTGTTGCGAATTTAAACGCTCCACAGCAAAACCCAGGTGGGCAGAGCAATAGTTAATCGGACACGCAGTGTCATGCTCTTCTCTTTGTTGAGCTGCGCTTTGAGCTTCCTCCAAAACATACCAGTACAGTATTTAAGAACTGGTAAAGTGTTCGGAATTATTAATAGATTGCCTTTTATTTTTAATGGGCAGCACCCTAGAATTACTAGTTAAATAATAACCTGCTCTTTTTGAGTGAGCGACAAATTTTGTTCACTAAAAAATGAGCAGAAAACTAATAATTCCAACACAAATGTTGTCGATGTATAATTTTCTTATAATCGCCCTTAACGATTCTTTGTAAATGATCAGGATAACCTGTTTCATGTATTTTCAACAAACCATAAATTCACATGCAAATTAGATGCATGTAAGCAATGGGCATCCATGTTGCTGTATTGCCTATGAACACGGGGTTTCATGGTGTCGTGTGGCCAATATGTCAGTCGGGCCACCCGAAGTTCACTGACACATTTCATAAATACAATCAAATCAACACATTCTTGCGTTTTAAATATTTTATATTCAGTATTTTGAGTTTATCCACTTAAGCTGATAAGTAATACATCCATCCATTTTCTGATCCGCTTATCCTCACATGGGTCACGGGGGTGCTGGAGCCTATCCCAGCCGTCTTCAGGCAGTAGGCGGGGGACACCCTGAACCGGTTGCCAGCCAATCGCAGAGCACACAGAGACAAAACAACCATTCGCGCTCACACTCATACCTAGGGACAATTTTGAGTACTCAATCAGCCTGCCATGCATGTTTTGGAATGTGGGGGGAAACTGGAGTACCCGGAGATGATGAGTAATCATTTATCTTTCTTTATGCACTGCGTGCATTTTTTCGCACATCAGGTTAAATCCTTCCAAAAGGAGTGGCTTGAACAAGATACCAGCTAAAGTCCAGAAAAAAATTAAATGTTAGATTTGGATTTTAAACTGCAATAAAACCCCATCATATGTAAAAGTAACTACACCAAAGTAATATTTTCTTCACTGCTTAAAATTTAAGCCTTAAATCATACAGTACAAAGATGGTTAAATATGAAAGAATCATTGAAACTTACTGAATTACGTCATGATTATACAGGGCCAGTCTTGGTTCTGACAGGGTCTTCCCCCGATTATTGTAGGACACTGGAAGAGTTTGGTGGTCTGGTGCCTGACGCAAGGGAACTAGACATTGTAATAGATGGAGTGCTATTAAAAAAACAAAACAAAAAAAAAACATTCTTCAACCTCATGTATGAAGAATACAATACACAATACACAGCCATCACATCATCCTGTGTTTTTCTTTCAAGTTAAAGCTCATTGAACTGAGATAAAAGTGGTCTGTTTTGTCCTTCATTTCTGATGCAGATGCAAATGAAAATAAAGTTGATGGTTTCAAAGATGGCGAAATCAAGGCCAAGAAATGCACAATATGCTCACAAATATTCACCACCGAAAGCCAGCTGCAGAGGCATCTTCGTGAGCATGAGATCAATGACAAGGTAAGAAGTAAGATCTAATGTACTATGTCATACTGTGAAGGTGATCAATCAATCAATACCTGCCAGCAGAGAATATCAGCATATTTGTAAAGATTGTTTAGAGTTTTAGGTCTTGAAGTTTCAGTTCAGATCAGTAAAATGAGGGACAATACAAGCTGCAGTTTGGACTTTAAACATGCAGCGGGTCATGTTATTGGGCAATTGTGAATTAACAACTAGTTTCATGTCATGCTTGATTCAAACTCATTCACTTCCAAAGACATATTTATATGTCTTTTCACACTCCACATGTTCAATCCCAGATCCTTTTTTTTTCAATTTTTCCAATACTTTGGGTTAAAAAAAAAAAAAAAGGGGGTCTAGAATTTGCTGGTACTGAATGAGTTAAAAGGCCTTCATTACATAGTGTGGAAGTGGACCAGCCCATACAGCGACCTAACACAAGTGATCTGTGATATTAGGTATGATATTGTACTTCCTGCTGATTACAATAAATAATTAGGGTTCTAAATTAACATCAGTGAACTGTTGACAGTGACATTCCAATCTGGCATTATGTGTCTTTTGTGGCCACTCAGACTATCTGGTATAACTGTTTATATATAAGGTACCTCACCTTAAAGCCCTTAAAGCTGCAACAGCATGGGGCAGAGAAAGCAAAATGAATGCATTTGCAGGGACTCAATTTCTGAAATATAAAACATTTTGGCTGTCTGCTCTCCGTTCCAGCCTCATCGTTGTGACCAGTGTCCACAGACGTTTAACGTGGAGTTCAACCTCACACTCCATAAGTCCACACACACAACTTCTGACTTCACCTGTCCTGTATGCAATAAAAAATTCTCCCGCATTGCCAGTCTCAAATCCCATACTATGCTGCACGAAAGGGAAGAGGTAAATCCAATAACATATAAAATTGGTGAATGTAATCCCGATTAGAGTGAACATTTCCCCCTTTGCTTTGTTGCAGAACTTGATCTGTACAGAATGTGGGGATGAGTTTGTTCTTCAGAGTCAGCTCTCTCTTCACTCAGAGGACCACCGCAAGGAGTTGTCCGGCATCAAAGTCTACACCTGTAAGACTTGCGGGAAGGAGCTCAAGACATCTGCACACCTCAAGGAGCACATGAAGTGTCACATCAAGATCAGGTGAGGAAGCTTGGATAATAAGAAAAATACGGTGAAAAATCAAAGAGCATGAGCCTTCTTCCAAAATAAATACAGATCAAACTGTCAACTCACTTGCTGTTTTATGAGGGCAAAGCATTATTTAACAGTGGTTAAGTTCATGAATAAAACTTTGAATAAGCTCTCAAACTGCAATCCATTGTTATTATCCTTTCTTACAGGCCGCTGTCATCTAGCTCCAGAAATTACAAGAAAAATATTGATCGCAGTGGGTTCACCAACAGCTGCCATCACTGTGGAAAGGCATTCAAAAAGCCCAGCCAACTTGTCAGACACATACGCATCCACACAGGTAAGCTGCACACACGAAAAGATGTTCTCCTCTTCCCAGCATTCACACAGAAAAGCACTCACCTGCACAATGCCAGGGTTTTGTTTGTACTGTACTACGGCAGGGGCGAAAAAAAGTCGACCAACAAAAATTGGCCAGATCAAAAATGTGTGCCTCAAAACTGTTTTTAAGAATTAAAAAAATGCGACATGCAACCAATGAATGGCCACTGTCGTGTTTCCACATGGACGTTTGTAGCTGTGGACGCAGTTTCCCGGCAACATGTAAGGTGGTGTGAGAAAAACTTTCAGGCCAGTGACAGGAGCTAGGAACGTCTCAATTACGGTAAAAGACATAAAATGAGCTCAGAAGTTCATGATGATGAAGATACCGAGGATTTGTGCTGACTTTAGAGTGAAAAGGGAGAAAATATGTTTTTATGTATTGCTGCCAAACGGAGATGGCGGGGCTTGGAGCCATACAGTCAGTACACCATTTGCCCCTTTATCTGATTTCTGTTTTTTGCATATTTATCACACAAAGGTTTCAGTTCATCAAACCTATTTTAGTATCACACAGAGACAACCCAAAGAAATATAAAATGCAGTCTAACTCTTTTTCACTTCTAATAGGAGCCGCAAACCATTTCTCTTAATTTTGTTTTCACCACATTGCCCACATCCACATCTGAATCAGACAGAATTCTCCCACCTCCAAAATTATTCCTTTTTCAGGAGACCCCAAAAATGGCATCCCGATATTTTGTTCAACCAATTAAGCCCCAATCCCACTGAGGCGTGAACAGTAGTTGGTGAAGGTAGAAAAATGCGCGCTCACGGCAGACCTCGTCAGGGTTCATTCAGGGTCGCAGATGTTTCCCCATGTTCGACAGAGGTTCACCAATTGTTTGAGAGATTTCTCTTGTCGCAAGGAAATCTTGACCATGTTCAAAATTCTCTTGCTACAAGAAAAGTACAGCCAAGCGTCATGCAACCCTTTCACAAACCTTTGCGACTTTGAACGAGCTCTTACGAGAAAACAACATTCGCTGCCTTGAAAACACTCACAATTGTTTGTCGCTCAGTTGGGGGCTTAACATTGCATGGTGATGGAGAGCAATTCATTTTCAACATTTTTAGATTGGTCAATTTGGAAAAATAACACCTACACATGTAGATTGACAAATATAGACTTGTGAAAAATGTGAAATTTTCCAAATTGTGAACACGGGATGTTTCAGCCTGACGCGCCTGCATTCGGCAAGATGATTGCCTGCTGCACAGATGCAATACTGGTACTGATGACTAGAACAAAATGATCCTGCATATCTCCTTGAGGTTTCCCAACAAAACTTGGGAGCCATAACACTAAAATGTTTGGCACTAAAATGTTTGGCAAAACAAATTAGACTATTAAATGTGGGAGCATTGCCAGCAAATACTTGGGTATGTGATTGATCAGAAAATGGACTCTCTAAATTGCAGTGGAACCAGAGGTTCACACAAACTCCTGACGATGCGCAGTATTAGCAGTTAAATTTTGGCCTGTATAGATTTTTTTTTTTTTAACATGTAAAAAGAGTGGTCATTGTCTTCCTGCTACAGCTTCATGCGTCTCACCTCATCTTTACTTAGGTGAAAGACCCTTTAAGTGCACACATTGCAGCAAGGCTTTTAACCAGAAGGTGGTGCTGCAAACTCACATGGTGAGACATACTGGGGAAAAGCCACATCTCTGCATGTTCTGTCCGGCCTCCTTCTCGCAGAAGGGGAACCTACACTCCCATGTTCAGAGGGTTCATTCAGAGGTAAGAGAGTAGCATAATTAATCTGAAGTTATTAGTGAATGTTTAGCAGTTGCTTTATTTAGTTGCAAATGTCACGTAATCACAAAGTCTTCACCACGATTCGCTTTTGATTACAATGCTACATTTCGATTGGATCAACGCATCAATCCATCTATTATGCTTTACTCATCTGGGTTCGGAACCAAAATTTATAGAACATATAGATGGTAGAAGGTTTCAATAGCCTCAATCAGGGGACTTGAAGTCCGATCCTCGGGAGTGCCTAACCTGCCTGTTTTATACAGTATGATACCCTGTTCCAAAACACCTGATTCACATCAGCTAACTTTACACATGCCTGATTACGATCCTGATCATTTTAATCAGGTGAGTTGGAACAGCATACTGTATAAAATAGGCTAGCTCGGTACTCATTCCTAATGGTAGGTCTATCTCAATCCAATCACGTTATCTGGAAACCGGTGCCAATATGTGATTTTCAGCTAAGCCGGATGAAAAAGACCAGTTGTATTTATTTTCATTTCAAGGGGGCAAAGCTACAAAATCATCCAAATGTTGAAATATCTTGCCAAATAGAACAGTAGTCGCTTAGTTTTGTTTTTCACAATAAAAGAAAAATATATGTTCCACACTATAAGGCATTTCGGAGTACAAGGCGCACCTTCAATGAATGGGCTATCTTAAAACTGTTTTCATACATAGGGCGCACTGCATCGTAAGACACATCGAATAGAAGCTTGAATAATGGCCGCAGTTGCGCTATGCATCCACTAGATGGAACTATGCTAAAGGAATACAATACAATACAATACAGCTTTATTTATACAGCGCTTTCACAATTGCTGCAGCAGTAACACAGTGCTTTATAGAACATTTAGAATACTACATCCAAGAAATCAGAATATTGATCCATATATACAGCTTTATTTCTGTAGAGCTTTCACAACCGCTGCATCTGTAACAAAGCGCTTGACAGAACATTTAAAATACTATGTCCAAGAAATCAGAATATTGATCCATATATATAAGGCACATCGGATTATAAGGCGCACTTTCGACTTTGGAGAAAATTAAATGTTTTTAGGTGCGCCTTATAGTGCGGAAAATACTGTATTTATGTATTTATTTTTTTAGTGGCAGTGTAGTTAGTGACCGTAACGCAGCCGCATGCACACACACACTCACACACACACATACACACACACACGTGTTCTGCGCTGCACTCAGTTCTCTTTCAGGCAGAGGCAGAAGGGCGGGTTCATCTGCATGCTTTGTTTGAAGGGAGAGGCAAGCCAAAAGATTCTTCTTAATACGTCTGCTATGCCAAATATAAAGAAGCCTTCTTGCTAAACAGCAAGAGTTGAGAGCACGACAGACACGTTAGCAATTGTGACATACCCAAATGACTTTACTTCAAATAGAAGTTTGATGAGTATAAATTATATGGTAACAAGCAAGCTTTTTGCCGACTGGGTACATTTGACAAGGTCATAAAGAGTGTTGTTTCTAAATAAGAGAAGTCAGGCAATCAGCCAACACCTACATTGCTCCGTAGACTCTTCATTTAACCTGCACCAGCCAATAAATAATCATGTAAATGTATTGTTTACCATTGAACAAATTGCCTCAGTCTGTGTTCAAGTGTATACCCGTATAGGCGATTCAACCAAATTGGTGCCATTTGTGTCCCCTAGGCAATTAGATGAAAATATATATTTTAATAAAGTGTCCTGCACATTTTGAGTTGTTTGTGTGTCATCAAAATTCAGGGTTAAAAAATAAGGTAAATTTTGAGTGTTACAAAAAAAAATCTGCAATGATTTGGTGGACTGGTCCACATAATATATAATACAACAACATATACTGTACATATATGCAATTATGTATGTGCATATCTGTATGTATATTTCTATATTAACTTGAGAAAAATCATATGGACACTCCCTTTTTAAAAACAAATTGTATTGGAATTGGGATTCCGTATCAGCAGATACTGTACTTAAAACCAAAGACTTGGACTCATGTGCCAAAAAGCATGCTCGGGACATCCCTACTGTACAGATAATTTTAAAGTAATTCTATCTATGCTATAAGAAAGTGAACAAAAAGGGTGAAGTGAAAGTGAAGGCGGAGTGCCGAGGTAAACAGTACCATATTTTTCTGTGGAACGCGAGTGGCCGTATTTAAAACACACACATCACTTCCTTTTGCTGCCACTTAGAAAAACACATGGACCTCGAGCTCCGTTCACCGCTGCGCTTTAAAAAAAAAAGAAAAAAAAAAGCAAGAGAAATAAATGCTCAGTATGCAAATGCCAGCAACATGCTTGAATTTGGTACGCCGTTTGTTTCCAGTGCGCTTAGGCACCTGTGCACAGCTTTTGTGCACCCTAGTTTATTCTTATTGTATTAGCCAATATTGCACCAAAATGAGAGCCGGGACCGCTCACAATAATTATTAAACACATAAATATCTGCCAGTGTTTACATTTACAAATGATCACTTTTACAACATTTTCAAGAAATGTTGTAAAAGTGATCATTTGTGGCCTGCTCATGTGGTCCTTGGGGGCTACCTGGTTGCCCGCAGGCACTACGTTGTGGTGACACCTGACAAGGGTACATGTTCAACTTGAAGGCAGTCATGTAATATATGTTGTGGTGGGGGTTTTTTTGTTTTGTTTTTTTGTAGGCGAAAGGTGTGCCATTGTTCCCCTGTATGGACTGCAGCTGCGTATTTAAGAAGTTGGGCAGTTTGAATGCACACATCGGCAAGATGCACATCTCTGTCATTGATGTACCTTCCAGCACTTTGGTAATAGAGTACAGTATTGTAGGGTGGGAAATATTTTAACCTGATTGGTTAGACATGACATATACTGAACTACTTAGTGTAGTGTAAATGTAGTGTCTTATTTAGGTTCTGTGAACGTTTCTTTCAGGGACCAAGACCAGCTTTTTGTACTGGTTTCACTGGTGCGCCCAAGGTTCACTCTCACCCCCCAAAAATGTGCATCTCTCTCTCGCGCTATTCATTTTTGCAACACTGACGTGACAAATGGAAATAAAATCCTGCCGCTAAGAACTGATGTTCAGGCTTGATTGTTGCTGTCAAAGAAGTACTTCTTGAAAAATATGGTCATTATTGTGCATGTAGCTTGAAGTGGTGTAGACGAGGCATTTTCCCTTCTCATGTAGCTCAATAAGGAAGCAAAATAAAGACTTGCTGCAATGCAGTTCAAAACCACAAGTACAGACTACAGTACTAATGTCATTAGCAATGCATATCATTGTGCACTAATGAGATTTTTTAAAGTTTCTTTTGCCCTGATTTCTTGTCCTTTATCACGCCTCCCATTACCCTTATCCCCCCCATGTCCCACAGGAGACAGACACAGCAGGTCCTGCAGGGTCAGATGGCACAGAGGCAGTAACAGACGTCATCCAACAGCTACTTGAGCTCTCTGAGCAAGTCAATGGAGAGACAGCGCAGCCGCAACCCCCAGAACCAGCTGTTGCCATGGAAAGCGCCATTAACCAAGACATCCTCCAGGTTAGTCAAAAACATTTCCCCCCCACACCAAATGCACACCCCATGTTAAGCCACACTCATTTAAGCTCTAAAGTTAGTGGCGTAGAATATTTTAAACCGTGTTCCAATATTGATTTTTGAGCTAATTAACATTCTGTTTTCATAGCAAGCTCTAGAGAACAGCGGGCTGAGTGTAGCCCCAACTCAGAATGTTGATGCCAATGTCAGAGATACTCAGAACCAGACATCTGAGGGAGCAAATGTGGACTTGAAAAAAACACCGCTTCTGGAGAAACCTATCAGAGAAAGAAAAAGAAGCATTTTCAAAAAACCAATACAAATGCCAGGTATGGAAGCATAACTGACTAATTTTGGACGAAGGTATTAATTCAGCTGAAAGAGCACATATTTGTTCTAAGTACTGATCAAATAGCTGACTGAAATGCCCAGCTCCGTTGTCCACTTTTATTCCTAGGCTCCATCAGGGAGGAAAATGGCATCCGCTGGCATGGATGCCCTTACTGCTCCAAAGAATTTAAGAAACCCAGCGACCTCGTCCGCCACATCCGCATCCATACCCATGAGAAACCTTTTAAGTGCAAACAGTGCTTCCGAGCATTTGCTGTCAATAGTACACTCACAGCCCATATGAAAACTCACACAGGCATCAAGGCGTTTGAGTGCCAATGCTGCCTGAAGTGCTTCTCTACTTCTGGCAGCATGAAGGTACACATGCGACTGCATACCGGTGAGTATGTCCGCCTTATCGAAGGATCATGTTATGCGACACAAGAGGAAACACTCATAGAGAGGATCAAATTATTATTATTATTTTTTTTGCTTGCACTGATAACTGATAACTTCCTCCTCCTCCAAACCGCTCGATAACCAATCTTTGTGTGTATGTGTGTGTGAGCACAGTTTTCATTTGTCAATGTTTTCAAAATGTAATTTTTTTCTTTTAGGTGTTCGGCCTTTCTCCTGCCCTCACTGTGATAAGATCTTTCGTACATCAGGACACAGGAAAACGCATATAGCGTCTCACTTCAAAAGCTTACAGCAGAAGAAACACAGGTTTCCACGAAAAGCCAACAAAGCCAAAGTGTCTAAGAGTAATTTACCATTACCTGACATCCCACTGCAGGAGCCTATTCTCATTACAGACTTTGGTAAGCGCATTCATCCACAATGTCAAACTCAGATTTGTTTCTTTATATGAGTATAACACATTATTCATCTTGTTCATTCATTTAAGGAGCATGTCCTTAAATAATGTATTGATTCTTCAACAGGCCTCATCCCATCTCAGAACCCTCGCCTGGCATTCCAACAGTATCTGGAGGTGGTGGGTAGCGATCGTCCATACAAGTGCCAGTTCTGTAATAAGGCATATAAGAAATCAAGTCATCTGAAACAGCACATTAGGTGAGACGAGTCTAATAATTGCTTTGTTCATTTCATTGAAGAATTGTTTTTGGCTGGTAGTGAGCATCAAACAAATCGCAACATTAAATCTCAGCTGAGATTGTGCACTTGCTGATAATGTTGTACATCTATGTTTGCTTTCTTCAGCATGAAGTAAGGAAAAAAAACCTGTCACAATCATAGAAACTAGATATCATTGTTGGAACTAATAGTCAATTTGCCCACTCAAGATCTCACACAGGTGAAAGGCCATACAAGTGTGTGCAGTGTGGTCGGGGTTTCGCCTCCTCAGGGGTTCTCAAGGCTCACATCAGGACCCACTCAGGACTGAAGGCATACAAGTGTGTCATGTGTGATACAACGTTCACCACCAGTGGTAGCCTACGACGCCACATGACGACTCATAGTGATCTACGGCCTTACATGTGCCCATACTGCCAGAAGACGTTCAAGTCATCTCCAAACTGTCGGAAACACATGAAGACACACAGGTTTGAGTTTTTTTTTTTTTTCCTGTCTGTTCCTTATGTTTAATGATGCTAGCTTCAAGATGATGTGTATATACAGTGATCCCTCGCTACATCACGGTTCATTTATTGCTGCTTCAGTGCATCGCGTTTTTCTTCCAAAGTACTGTATTCAGAAAAAAAAGCCGAATGACTCAGAGGTTTTGCACATGCCTGTACTGTACTGTGTATCCAACGGGCACTCATTCAAGGTGCATGATTGGTTCCCCGGTGCAACGTCGACCAATGACAGCACGAGTGGATTTATCCCTGGAGCTGATTGGCTGCGCGTCTTTGCAGCCCCAACCAGCACCTTCCCTTGTGTCTCGTCATGCTGTTGGCTGTCTGGCATACTGTCTCTTAGTGTTGTGTGTGCTATGTGCACGGTGGGGGGGAAATACAGAGAATGTGGCAGCACTTCGCTCTTCGTTCCCTCTCCCCGATACCGATTAATTTTATGATCAGAAACACATCGGCAGCGCAAGGATAGCTGGCCAGGAAGTCGCTCAGTAGCTGGAGAGTAAGGGCGGCTACACCGTCAGAGCATGAAGCAGAATGGTCTCCGAGTGAACCTAAAGCCTGTACAAGTCAAGTGAAAGCCGCCTTCTACGCCACCAACACAAGCCTGTTTGCCTCTCTCTGAAGGCAATGCTGATGAATGTTAAAACTCATTCACTCCCAAAGACATATTTATATGTCTTTTCACACTTCACACGTTCAACCCTAGATACTTTTTTTTTCTCAATTATTCCAAGACTAAGGGTAAAAAAAAAAAAAAAGGTCTAGAATTGGCTGGTACTGAATGAGTTGATTGCTGTGTAAGGTTTTATAATTAACAATTTAAGTAAATACATGTACTGCTGTATTATCTAATATGCAAAGTATAAATGCTATTTACATATTTTAAACATGCTGGTACCCACATAGACCGACACAAAAATTCCCGGGGTTGGGGGGGGGGGGCGCAAACCCTACTTCGTAATTTTTCACTTATCGAGGCCACTTCTGGTCCCTATTAACCGCGATAAGTGAGGGATCACTGCAATCTCCTAAACCTCTCATCATTGCCTCTCACAGGCAAAGGCCCAGAGACAATTACTCGATGCCGACTCATCTTTCTGGCAAGATCACAAGTTGGTCAAAGTTGATTTTAACAGACTGATTTTCCTCATAATCTCCCCCAAATCAGATATGAACTGGCTCAACAATTGCAGCCTCAGTCTGCTGAAGACCCACTAGAAGCTGGCACGGTGCCCCACGATATGCAGGTGGAGATGGAGGGAAACTCCCTTCAGCAACCACCCGCAACTTCATGTGAGCAACAAAACATGCTGGGACTTGGACAAGCAGAGGGTGTAAATGGAGGCCAGCCGGTGATATTAGAAGCACAATTGACCAACCAGCCACTGGTGCAAGGAGAAGGTAACAAAAGAATGGTCACACATAATCACCAAGAATATAGGACGCTTGCACGCAACTCAAAGCAATGCATTCTGGGATGGTTTTTTTTTTTTTTGGCAGAGCATCAACAGGGATGAATACCAGCATCTGGTGATGTCTTTGCCAAACTGGCTTAAAGCTGCAATTGACTGCAAAAGATTTGCAAATCAGTATTCCCAAATGAAAGTTTGATTTAAGATTTATTCATTTCATTACCGTTGGTCCTTTAACTCATTCACTCCCAAAGACGTTTTTAAACGTCTTTTCAGACTTGGTCTAGAATTGGTTGGTACTGAATGAGTTAAATAGCATCAAGCTATGTACAAACTGTCGTGATCCCTATATCGCTTACCTCATTTGGATGTAAATACCTTTAAATTAAACCTGAAAATGTGCTGTTAAAGCACATCTGATTTGATTTCAAATCTTATATAGTTGTGTTTCGAGCCAAAATGATGAGAATTGTTTACAATATTTATGGACCGGACTGTAATTTGGTTGTGAAGGTCAATTGTTTTGCATGTACTAATTCAGGGTTGGAGCTTTAAGGGACAGCTATACCTTTTTGTGCCTATTATGCACAAAAGATTGCACTTCCATTGTAGTGACTGTGAATAACAATTTTTAGCATTTGTTGAAAACAAAAAAAACTCGTAATGTCTCCTGTCTTGCAGCAAGAATCTCACAGACTGTCACAAAGACATGTTGAATAGAGTCAGACTGCCTGATTCTTTCAGTGTGAACCTGGCTATGCAAGACATAATTCTTGTTGTTGTTGTTTTTTTTAACCGTTAATTGAAATGATATGATCTGAACCATGGATTTTTTTGAATTGTTTCACCCCTAATAGTGACCCATATTTTGTTTGATGCTCATTTGAATTGCCTTGATACTGTAACAGTTCTGCAACCAAACATGTCTCGTTGAGGTTATTGTTGTGCTTTGCAGCTAATGTTAGCTTTGGTTTTAATATCACAAAAAAGTAAATGTTATTTTTATATTAAATTCTCCTCACTTTGTGTATATTATCAAGTCTTTATTGTACTCGTACACCATTTAATACATCCTCGACATCCTCCATATGTATTCTATAATTGAAGACTATAGCCTCCTACGTATGTGTTTTTCTTTGTTTACAGACTCCTATGTGACCACACAACATGGTTTGCCTCAGAATATCACCCAATTTGAGACGCGAACACTCCCTCAGACCACATTCGACCAGCAAGCTTTAACACAAGGTGCATTCTGACAGATTTTTTTTTTTTTTGTCTGTGTAAATTGAAAATGCTCTCTTTGCTTTACTGGACCGAACATCTGCTATGTCTGTTAATTTCTATTTGTATGAGCTACCACTTCACTGCTTTCTCATATCAAATTCATTTGTTATGCGCTCTTTAATGTTACTGTAGGATGGGATATTCAGTATGTGTCATACATTCACGGTGACAGCCTTGATTCACTGCTTATACAAGTGTCTGCTATAATCAAGAAGAGGAATTAATTCCTTTCGGTCTTTGTCAGTTTTTCACAAGCCCACTAACATTTGTTTACTGCTGAAAACACAAGTTCCTTGCACTCCAAGCGGCAGTTGTTGCCTCACCGATGGAGCCATTAGACCATAAGAGGCTTTTAGTGTTCAGTTGCAAACGTCTGAAGTATCGAAAGGCATTTGGACACTCCTCGTGAATCACTGTCAGCATGCAGATTGATGATGACAAATTGCTTTTGTGGAACATTTTCCAGTTTTTAGCCTGCATTAAATTTTAATCTCTAAATTTGGTGTGGTCTGAAACGCTGTTGAGCCTTGTAGAAAGCTATAATGTAATAATTTCTTGAAAATGTTAACGCTTGAAAATGTCATAAAATTTGTACTGGTAATAAAACCCAGTAATGTAATGATTTCACCAATAATGTAACAAAATATCCTGACTGATATTGTAATAACATTTTTTACCAATATTGTAATACTGTACAGTACATTGTTGGATTGATTACATGGCATAATGTTCATTTTATCAAATGCTGTGCCATTTTTACCCCAGACGTAATGGGCCGCAAATCAATCAATTTTTGACTCATCAGTCCACAGAATGTTATTTCAAAAGTCTTGAGGATCATCAAGATGTCTTTTGGCAAATGTGAGACGAGCCTTTGTGTTCAATTTGGACAACAGTTGTTTTCGCCTGGTATCTCTCCAATGGATGCCATTTTTGGCCAGTGTCTTTCTTATGGTAGAGTCGTGGACACTGAGGTCAGCGAGGTCTGGAGTTCCTTGGATGTTGTTCTAGGTTCTTTTGCAACCTCCTGGATGAGTCGTTGCACTATTGGAGTAATTTTAGCTGTTCGACCACTCTTGGCAATGTATGCCACTGTTCCCAGCTTTATCCATTTGTGGATAATGGCTCTGACAGTGGTTTTCTGAAGGCCCAGAGTCTTGGAAATGGCGTTGTAACCTTTTCCAGACTGAGAGATTTTGATAACTTTTTTCGAATTTCTTCTTGAATTTCTTCGGATTGTGGCATGATGCGTTTGTTTCTTGAGAAATTGCAGCATATTTCACTTTGTCTGACAAATTCTTTTTACGTGATTTCTTGATTCAACAAATGTGGTGCGAGGGTGTTGCCTGTGAACTTGAATTCAGCTTTCACAAAACTGTCGTTAGTCAGAGCTACTTTGTCATTTCAAAATGGGGAGCAATTACTTTTTCACATAGGGACCATAGAGTAGTTTTTTTAATATTAAATGTACTTGTGCATTTTTTATTAAATGTACCTGTACATTTTTTATTTACGAATGTTCTGTTCATGTTTTATTGTAGAGTCGTGGACACCAAAGTGGACATTTTGACTGAAAGTGGTAGTGTGTCACATGTATTCCTGAGTTCCCGCCATACGTATATTGAACTTTATTCTATGTGGTCTCCCCAGGCTTTACCATGACAGAATCAAGTTACACTCAAAGCCAGTTCTCCACTGTCCAGCAGCTACAGGATTCCAGTACGCTAGAGTCTCAGGCCCTGTCATCCAGCTTTCCTCCCCCGACTTTGCTTCATGTTTCCAATGCTGAAGTGGTGAGTCTCAGCCTCTGGTCTCCATTGAACACTGTCACTTACAGTGGTTCATGCATTGCATTTTATACAAACTAAAACACATGCCGCATACAGAACAGTCCTAAGATAAAATGAAGTCGCTGATGAATATGAAAATTTGCTTGATTAATGGCCTCTTTTAATCAGGATTAGACAGAAGGCTGGCTGTTTGTTTCAATGACACTAATGAATCACTACATAACTTAAAAGTTGATAAAGATAAAACTTAGAATGTCCAGTTATTTTCAGGAAATTAAACAAATTACATCTTTTGTTGTGACGGTGTATCTTCAGTTTAGTTGTCACGCTATTTTCAACACGTTACATAACAGACCCATGGGGAGACTGACGAATGGAATTGATTTGTCAGAAAATATGAAATTAACCAGATTTGGACAGGCGGTTTCCGTCCAGTGACAATGTGCACCATTATCTATTGATTTTTAATTAATAATCAAGAAAGTATTTTACACATGCGAGTCTGTATGGAGTTGTGTGAATTTTTGTTGGTCTTTTCCATTTAGACAAATGGGCTTCTCCAGCAGAACAGTCAGGGAGAACTACAACTCGACACTGAGCCACACGACTACCAGGAGGACTGTGAAGACAACAGCAAGAGAGCGTACAGGTTTAATTCAGAGCTGGACCTTTTTTTTTTTTTTTTAACTTTTTATTGATTTTTTTTTTTAGGCAGAAAGAAGAAAAAAAAACATGGTCGGACCATTTTTTTAAAGGATCAGAATCAGAGTTATTGGCCCTGCTGTTGTGAAAGCGCTATATAAATCAGGATGTATTGTATTGTATGTAGGCAAGAAACAGACAAGGAATTTCCTTTCCATTTATAACCTGTTCAGAGTAACATAGACAAGACTAACATGGGGGAGACAGAACGACAAGTCTGGAGGGTCGCTGTTAAGCGCACAGATATCTTAGATGTGGAAGGAAAACAGACACAGATAGTTTTGAATAATTTTCTATGTCCAGCATAGTTTTGCATCAAATACGTTGAGACCAAGACATTGATTTTCATTCACTCTTTCTATTTCAATAGAGTCGATGATCATAAGAATAAATAAGAAAACCTTTATTCGTCTCCCAATGGAGAAATTCCTAATTTACAGCAGCAAATGATTTTCACTTGGTGTTTAATTGTTGTGGTTCTCAAGATTATAAACGTAGTTTTATTTAAGTTCAAAGACTATATTTGTATTAACCCAATTCCTTAGTCTATTTAATTATTTTTACACAATAGCCAGCGGTTAGACCAGGCAACTGGTCAGACTGCAGCAAAGACATACAAGAGCAGTGCAACAATAATCTCAGTGCCACAAAAGAAGTTAATACATCGGTTACCTAATGACCAAAATCAATGAATTGGTGATATGCTACAATCGGGCTACTAATTAATCAGTCTGGCCCTAGTTTACTATATTCAATTCTTTTCAGCATTCTCAGAACATTTGCTTTTGAAACATTGACACAGCTGATCAGCTTTATTGGTATATATTTTAAATGCTCTTTCCCGGTAGGTGGTTCCACATTTCCATATTTTTCACACACCATTTTTAAGTCAACATGCCTGATTGTACAACATACACCACTATACTACAGTTTTTCATACAATTGTATTCCTTTTCTTTTAAATACTAAACAGCATACAGTAGTATATGGAGATGTTTGGTTTTGTGAATGTTTTTTAGCTGATGGGACTACAAGGATTTTTTTTTCTCAACTCTTTAGGTGCACGTGGTGTAACAAAGGCTTTAAAAAGTCAAGTCATCTTAAACAGCATTTGCGCTCCCATACTGGGGAGAAGCCTTTCAGATGTCACCTCTGTGGACGAGCTTTTGTATCAGCTGGGGTGTTGAAATCCCATCTGAACACACACACAGGTATGTTTCTAAAGAGTGTTGATAAATGTTGAGAAATTCAACATTTATTTAAATTGATACATTTAAATGTTTTATTTCCATTTTAGTCCGGCTGGCCAAATATCCCTTTTCCCCCCTTACTCTGCAACGCCTTACGTTTGATTTGAAATTTTCCGTTTGGCACTGTTAGACCGTTGCTTCCAAAAATCAGCCATTAAATGCAATTTCTCTTCAAGAAATTTCACTGCATTCCTGGAGACAAAATCTTGTCTTTTTAAAATGGGTTACAGTATGTCATAAATCAAAGTTCTTAGTTTCAAAGGGAACGTAGACACATTTCAACACATCCTTCTCATGCCATTCATCCCCAATGACAGGAGTGAAGCCCTTCAAGTGTAACGTTTGTGATGCCTCCTTCACAACTAATGGCAGCCTGAACCGCCACATGATTATCCATGTCAAGTCATTCAAATGCTCCACATGCGATGAAAGCTTCAGGACAAGCCTGCTTTGTAAAAAGCACATGAGAAAGGAGCATGCGATAGAGGATCAAAGTAAGTAACGTGGGTCCACAACATTGTCACTTCAAGTTACAGAAAAAGGAGAAACTATGATTCATTAGGTATGCAATAGTTGATTGAAATGAAGTGCAAAAGTATCTGTTCAATCTGATGCCTTTCCTGCAGACGTTGTGAGTTTGATTTCGAGCCACTTCTGTTGTTCAAAACCTCAATTAAAAAAAAAAAAGTATTAAAAAAAGAAATTAAAAATGGGTGGGTTGCGTCAGGAAGGGCATAGGTCAGAGAAACTTCTGAACAACTGCTGCCAGTGACTCGCTGTGGCGACTCCCGATGGGACAAGCCGATAAGTTGTAACTAGTTGATTGAATTAAAGTAGTGTATTGATTCATGTTAAATATTCATGCTGAGAGTTTGGTTACCTGACTTAGCTAAATGACGGAGGCAAACTATTTTTGCACCACTGCAATCAATGACTCCAATAATAAACATACTGTCACATATAAACCTTTCTGAAATGTCACTCAAAATTTAGCATATCTGAAGTCAACATTATATATATATATATATATATATATATATATATATAGAGAGAGAGAGAGAGAGAGAGAGAGAGAGAGAGAGAGAGAGAGAGAGAGAGAAATATT